TATATATATATTACTCGGGTCCTTGCGCTTGCAAGACAAGTGGCGGAACCACTAAGCTAAATCCCTGGCCCTAAAATATATTTTTTGAAAGTCTTTATTCATATAGAGTCCACCATGCAGTTTTTCTAAAAGATTTTCTAATTTCTCTAAATGTTGGGCCTTTCTTAATCTGTTTATTCTTACTTTGGGGCAGAAATGTGTAAATGGATACTTTGGAGATTTTCATCTGTTTCTTTAGTGCAAAACTTGTTTTTTTAAGACTTAGTCACTGTATTTATGTTAATGTTCCAAGGTTTCTCCTGTCAACATGACCCATCCTGTTTACTGGTTGGATCCTGTTTTTGCAAAGTATTTTAATCACATAATATATTTAATTGACATGAACATAAACGTTTTCATACATGCAGACAACATGCATAGCTCTCCCCAGTTCTTCCAGCATCTTAGCCCACACACACTCCTCAACCCAAGCAGCAGGAAGGCTCAGGTGGGAGGAGGGAGAGTCAATACAGATGCTTCTTGATTTGTGATGAGGTTATATCCCTGATAAACCCATTATATATTGAAAATACCGTAACTGGAAAATGCACTTGGCACACCTTACCCACCAAATCCTGGCTTAGCAGTACAGTGTACTGTAGAGAATCAGTTTGTTATCATGGTGATGGCCTGCCCAACTGGGGGCTGTGGCTCATTGGTACTGCCCAGCATACAGTGAGAGTATCACACCACATATCACTCGCCTGGGAAAAGATGAGAATTCAAAACTCCAAGTACAGTTTCTCCCTGATACATATGACTGACATACCATGGTAAAGTCAAACACTTGTTAAGTGGAACCATCCTAAATTGGAGATGGTCTGTAGTTGACTTTATAGGCTGTGAAGAAAATACATGTTACGGACTAGCCATGTTAGAAAGGCTTTTTTTTCCCCTGTGTTTTTCTTTAAAGGAGGAAGCTTTAAGGCTAGAAATTTCAAATCTCTAACAATGAACATGATATAATAGAGTTCTTCTGTAGTACACAAATATTTGGAGATGAGGAAGGGAAAGCTAGAGTACAGTTATTAATCTAAGCATAGAATGTTTTACATAGGCAGTATACAAACTGTAGGCAACATTTGAAACTAGGTTAAAAATAAGCTTGAATCTTTGAAACCTTTGGCACTTAAGAAGCTCCAAAGAAAGCAAGGCTAATATGGAAGTTACAAAATCAACTTCTCTCTTCCCTTTTACACACACACACACACACACACACACACACACACACACCCCAAGTATATTTTGGAAAATGTATGTATTCTAAAATAAAACATGACAGATTATGGGAAATCTAAAGCAAAAATCTTGAACCAGGTTCTTGCACTGTTGCCTATGTTGGACTTGAACACCTGGATTCAAGCAGTCCTGCCTCAGCCTCCCAAGTACTAGGACTATGGCCCTACACCACTAAGCCTGGCTAAATAAAATCTTAAACTAGTGGGAAATCTACCTACCAGATTATGACATGAATGAGAAAGAGTTTAGAAGAGGCTTGTGCTTCTCTAAATGGAATGATTTCCATGGAATAAGTACTATACTGTTGGGAAATCAGAGAAACAACCCTTGTAAAGAAGGCCACAGAAAAGACCGAAACAAATAAATGCTCTCAGAGCATCAGTTGGCCTTTTAAAGATTCAACAGGGTAGAATGTGTTCTTTAGTAAAAGGTAGAAAATTCGAGTGTCTACATTTAGCAAAAAGAAGTCTTAGCAATACTATACTCTTTACTTTCCCACAAGTAGAATTTCTTTTATGTTATAAACTGAAGGAAGAGAAATTAAATAGTTTAATGATCTCAAGTGAGTTTGGGGAGAGAATATAACTACATTTAAGTAGCATCTTAAAAAAATAACAGAAAGAAATTAAAAGCAGTTCTTAAAAGGTAGTTAGGATATCCTATTAATGCGTCTGAAAGTGACCAAATTCCAATAATATTTAAATATATTTGAAAAGGCCCTTGGGCTAAAACCTGGCAAAGAAGATAATGGAGAAAGTGCTCCAAATAGCTACTCCAAAACCAACTTTGAGGGGAAAATAAGCCTTATAACAAAATCTATCAATCTTAGAGAAGTGAATGTTTTTACAAAGCATGCAGAGACACTTTCAAGCAGCTCAAGATATTTAATTTTTATTATAAATAAGTACATGCAAATCTTTTAATAATGTAACTAGTGGTGATGTCCAAGGTGTGACTATTTTGCTCTCTACTCTATCCCCAGCACCTACAAGTAGCACATGATAAGCCAATAAATGATTATTTCTATACCAACATTGAATTGTTAGTAACAAAAAATGCAATTTTATAGCCACTCATTTGTGATGATAATGATGGCATCTAAAGCAAAATTACCCTTCTTGTCCCCTAATGCTTGTCCTGTTCAGTAGTTTAGAAACACTGCTTAGTCAACTCCAGGAAGGATGGACACCATGTTGCATTAGAAAGGCATCTTTATTCTAAGCACACCACTGCCTAGGTAGCTACCTGTGTCTCTTCTTGATCACCTTAGGACAGCACTGCATCAATTTTCTTTTCCTTCAGAATCATTTTCTCCTCCTACTGGATCATTCCCAGTATGTTATAATTTGTCACCCTGAAAAAACCCTCACACTCTTGTCCTTGTATCCCTTTTCAGCTACTGCCTGAATTTTCTGCTTGCCTTCCCATAGGATTTTTTTGAAATATATGTCAGTATCTGTGGTTCCCAATTCTTTTCCTCTTGTTGTCACTTGAACCTTCTCTAGTCAGGCTTTACTCCCTGTGCTTCACAAAATTGCTCTTAATGTAGTAAACAAAGACTTCCCCGTTGCTAATATCAGTGGTCAATTCTCAGTCCTCGTCATGCTTGACTGGAAGCCATTATTTGACGCAACTGACCCCCCTTCATTCCTTTTGGGGACACATCTTTATTTGGCTCTACTTTCTTCACTTGGATTGAGTACATTCTAGGACACCTG